CCTCCCCCACCATGACGTCACCCCCAGGCTAAGCTGGGGGGGGGAGGATGAAGAACGGGGAGGTGTGTGAGGGGAGCTGGTCTCTCCCGGCCCTACTGCCTCTGCTCGATGCCGGCGGCAGCATCCCGGCCGTGGGACTGCAGAGGGTGGCGTGGGGAAAAGGGCTCACGCGTGGGGTAGCTGTGGGGGAGCCGCAGTGGGGGAGACCTGCGGCTGGGGGTCACCGCATCCCATCCTCTGGGGACAAGGCTACAGGTGCGGCAGGGCTGGGTGGAAGGGATGGTGCCGGCCGAGGTTACGCGGAGCCCTGCCCGGGACAGGGTTTGGTCTGGGGTGCTCCTGCAGCCTGACCCCCTCCCGGGACCCTCCTCAAGGCCGTCGCCTCCAGCAGCGTGAGAGGAACCTAAAGGCGCCGGCGCGGAGTTCTCCTGGTGCAAAGGAACCAGCCAAAACCCCATCCTGCAGCCTTCCCCTAGGGCTCTGCCACTGCAAAGTTATTCCCCGCAGCCCAGCTCAGCCCTGACCCTCACCAGCCATCTGCAGCATCTCCAGGAGCCGAAGGGGGACTGGTCGGAGGGAGAACTACTGTTGCCCTTCGCTCCTCCTGGTCCCAGGTCCCACCCCACCCTGCAATCCCACTGTGCTGGCAGTGCTGTGGAGCCCTGGACCAGCTGGGCTACCAGTTGGTCCCTTGCTTTTACAAACCCCCCGTGACAACCCTCAGACCTCAATGACGAAGGGACAGCAGCTGCCAGGCTGGGTCCCCATGATCCCCATGGGCTGCAAATGCCTGAAGCCCACCAGGCAAGGACAGGGATTGTGTGGGGTTCAATGAATCAGTGCAACTGGAAGTAAGGAAACTGGAGGGCAAGATGAAAAGCTTTCTTGCTGAGAGCTCCATTCACAAAATAGTGCCGGTGAATGCCATTGCCTCTTTAGGTCTACCTAACGTGTGCAGAGGCAGCCTGCACGCACATCCTCTTAAAGCCATCATGAAACCCCAACCTCTGTCTCTTCAACTGGAAAGCAGGAATAATGTTGGGTAACTACGCTAGCAGTCAGCTGGGGCCTGCAGATGAAAAACGCTGGCTTGTGTCCTCTGCACCTTCCCACTATTCCTTTTTGTTCCACCGTTTCTTCCTATTTATAGATCTCCACTATGGACGGTGAGCCAGATTAGAGGACAGAGCTGGCTGAAAACTAATCCGAGGAATTAAAGAAAAAAAAAGGCTCATTTTCAGCCAGCTCCCAGAGCCAGCTCAGCATGCGGACATGCAGTAGTGAACGCAGTGCAAAGCACAGGCAGTGGGTGCCGCGTCCCCTGGCAGCTTGCCCTTCAATTCACTCGGCCATGAAGCTGCAGCCCATATTAGAGTTGTCTTTTACACGCTCCTGAAGACATTGGTGGCAGCAAGGAGGCTAAGGCTAAGCTTTGGACTTGTTCAAAGGAATGAAAAGTTTAAGCTGAAGCAAAGGTAAAATACTTTTACCCAGCTCTTTGCTGCTGTGGTAATGGGTGCTTTTGTATTGCAACAGAGACACTGAAGTGGATATCAAAATGTGGAGCCCTGTCCTTTTCCCGGGAGGGATAGGTTAGATAGCCCGAAAGATCTTTTATGTCTCACAGTCAGTGCATTATCAGCATAAAAAAGGAAGAGGATGAAAGGAGTGTGGGTTGAGGTACACAGATGTAAACATTGAATCTACCAGCTCTTAGCAGCTCGGCCACTTGTGGCTGCGTTTGCTGTTAAGAAGGACAAGGCACCCTTGCAGGAGCACCAGGTTGTGGAGGCTGCAACAAGAGGACTTTCTCATTTCATTCTTCTGCCCTATTGATAACTGTATTGGTTTATTTATACAGTCATATCTGCTATGGTTTTGTCTGCTCCTTTTTTTCTGAGGGCAGATGAGCTATAGCTTCAGGTTAAAGGTTGGGCTGGCTCCAAGAGGCTTGCGTTGGACATGATTTTGACATTACGCTATGTAAATCTTCTTTGGAATGAACTTCAGGGCAGTTTCCAATGCACAATCAGGAAGAGTTTAATATCTGGCTTTTGGTACGTCCGTCACTGCTGAAATGACTGCAGGCTCTGGCAATTTGGCCACAAATCTTATAAGAACAGGCATTTCTGGGGGATTTCTGGCCAAACAACACCAAAAAAAGATCTGACAGCTAGAGGCATCAATTACGGAGGCAAAAAGGGCCTGGCCAAATTCCTCTAAATGTTCTTGACTGCTGGGGCAGTCCAGCTCTGTCTGAAATTCAAGCCCGGCTCCAGCCTTACCAGCTTCCCTGCCCCAGGAAGGGGCCCAGCGCACTATAGATTCTGAACAAAAGCCAGCGGTTTCAGGCCATCTCAAATAGCAGCACTCTCAGCTCTGCTGGGAGCCAGGGAGCAGGATGAAGTGGGGACAGTTGTTTATCAAACTACCCTTTTTTTTCTTCAACACGGTATTAGAAGGTGCTTGAATATCAGCCCGTCTCTAAGAGACATCCGCGTACGTTTCAGAAGAAGCGCTTCTGCCGGTGCCTTCCTCAGTCCCTGTTAGGACATTTTGCTCATCAGCACGATTTTGCCCTTGTTTATAAGAAAAAGGGCTCTGTCCTCACGGCAGCCTCGTGCTCCGCTTGTTCGGGTTGGTGGCAGTATCATCCCGCGGCCGCATGTGATCGCTGCCGTGGCGGAGGCAGACGGACAGAGCCCACGGCTGCTGGCCAGATATAGCTCTGCCAGAGATAGCGTCGGCGAGCGCAGCGTGGGCTGCGCCGTGTGCCGGAGTGGCTGGGTGAGTATTTGGGTGGGCAGCCCCGCGCTGTCACTGCCAGGCGGAGAGCAGCATGCTGGGCAGCTGATTTAAAGCGAGCTCAGCTCCATCTAAATCATCTACTGCGAGGGCACCCACCGGGTTTAGCGGCTGTGTTTCTCACTTAGCTTTCGGCTGACTGTCATGGCTGAACCTCAAAAGAGGCAGCTGGCTCAAGGTAGCAGAGAGAGCTGCTTTCCCTGGCAAAGCTCGCTGCATCTCTGCGTTTCTTTTCCCCTTCATCCTGTTTGTTTGTTTTTTTTAAATGTAAAATATCTCTTCAAACAGCTCACACCACAGGCTCCCCAGTTCATGGTTGTGGGCTAGTAATAGGGATAAAATCTGAATCTTTGGTGCTGTCAGTCAGAGACTGATTTATTCTAAGCATGGGCTTAGGTTGGAGGGGAGGGTCCAGTGATCACAATGATATTTAAAAGTCCCTCCTATGCGTGTGTGAGAAATGTATTCGCTCTTAGCTCATCCTGCAGTAACATCGCCTCTACCAGGAGGTGACTGTTTGCTTTTACTCTCCCTCATGATCAGCCTGAGATCTGGCCCTAGTGATGCTGAAATGAAACAGGAGCCAGTGACTTGTGTCTGCGTACCTTCCCGTCTTGCAGGCCCCCTGAGAAGGGGGGACAGACTGACAGCTTTACAGTCCTGCAGAGGTGGCTGGGTTTGCTTGTGCTGTGGCTCCCAGCCCTCAGCCGCTACTTTCCCTAGAGGAAGGTGGCCAGCCAGAAAAATACATGCAAATATCACACCTAGCTGATAAATGAATAGCTGTTCACAGTATGATCCTCCAAGATTTTATTTAAGTAGAAAAATAATGAGAACACACCGAAAATGTGACAGGTAGGATTAAAGAAATACCTTTCAATAATGGCCAGGCTTCTAAAGCTTTTTTGGGTGCCCTTGTTCATTAGATATCTGGCTTCATTACTGGCCGGATGTGTCTGACTTCAGCTGAGCAGAAAAGAACTGCAGTTATGCACCCAAGGGCAGAATTTGCCCCACATCTGCCTAGAAATTAGTACTAAAATAGTGCTTGTTGTTCACCATGAACATCATTGTCATTTGATGTCTGCAAAAATATATTTCTGAAAATATAAACTGTTGTTGTGGTTCCAAATATCAAATTGGGAAAGAAAAAAATATATGGCTGAGTGGATGTAAAAGGGATGTGATTGCTTGATACCAAATCTTTAAAAAATGGAAAATGCTGGGTAAGGTATTTGTAACCTATTTATTTGACACAGAAAACAACGATCTGATATAAACTTAGAAAGTGATTAGAATAATGTAATCTTCAGTCTCAGCTTCTGGGATTTTCAAGGGGGAAAACCAGAATGCCAGACTTCACTAGGTTAATTTGAAAAGCTCAGCCTCTATGTTCGTTCTTCAGTAATTTTCTCTTTTAAAAAGCAGTCTTAAAAAAACAAGATGTCACTTGACCATGATCAGCTCATGCCAGCCAATCCAGTAAGGAAAGCACTATCTATTACAGAAACAGTAGTGTTTGCATTTAACCGCACTCCTCAGAGATATATTTTTAGGAAGGTGCCTGTGTGTGCACTTGAAATGCTGCATCTTATTAGCATGACCCCTTTATATCCGATTGTGGCACTGGCATTGCTGCTGAGCCCAGGCAAGCTGAGGAGAG